AACGAGAGCCACACCTTCTTCCCCTTTATTTACCCAAAACCTGACCCAGGATCTGCCTTGTGGTCAGGGTTCAGTATTTGTTGGAGAAACAAAATAATGAAACCTGCTCTCACTCTGAGGTTCTACAGAGGCACAGAGCAGCCTCTCCCCTTGCCCTTCCCCCAGCTCTGGGGACCCTGGGATGACATTTTTCTCGTTTCCTGTTTCCCACTGGCCCATAGTTCCTTCGCAGGTCTCACTGCTAGTCCACGTGCAGCTTTCCCCTAGCTGTGGACCGTTCCCTTCCTCCCTCTGGCCCTGAGTGCGGGGACAACCGAGACGGAAGACACACGGCTCACATGCACCTGACTTCGCCAACGGGCCTCCTGCGGGTTGTGCTGGAAATGGCATCTTTGTCTGACTTTCCTAGATTCGGTCGGCTTTCCAATGTTCTCCATAGCTGTCTGGTTTCTTCTATCTATATTTTATATTTTATATATTTATAATTATTTTTATATTTTATATCTATATCTATGTTTTCTATCCAGCTCTTTCCAAACCAGTTTGAATGGCTACCAGAGCCTTCATCTCTCCTTTGCCTTTCTGGGTCCTGAACGAAGCCAGAGCTTTGGGCTTTCTCACAGCCCATCCTAACTGCCTTTTCAGATGATTCCGTTGGTTTTTAGGGCAGCCAATGCGATGAATTAAAGGTACTTTCAGATTGCCTCTAGTTTACCATGAAACCACTCATGGAATCTTTCAGTTTATTTTAGACAGAGCTGCAAAGTACTCTCAGCAAGGTGGCCAGAGCCGTTGCTGGGTCCCTAGAATATTGTCATTTTGTTGCTTCCTCTTCAGCCAGCCATTCCTAGGCTCCGGGTTCTCTGATTTCACACTGAGCTTGGCTTCGGCCTCTCTGCTTCTCCCTGTGCGTGCCTCCAGTTCAGTCTCTCCAGGAACCAGGCTCTGATGAGCTTGCACGGTCACGGCTGAGTGCAGAGCTCTCCCGCCAGACTTTCTCCAGTGCCGCCGCCACGTCCTGTGTGTTTGACTTTGGTCACTGGACTGGTTCCTGGGCCAGTGTTTTGTGGCCAGGTCCAGAGCCAAGAGACACAATATGGTAACTTAGGGAGAAAGAACTGCCTCTGACCACTCAGTCCTGGGGCTGTGCTGGTAGGCATGAGGACTTCTTTCATTCAGTTCATTACAAAAGCTATCTTTGGACCTAATATTCACACCTCTTCATTGTCTTCTGTTTCCCTTTCTCACTCCACAGAGATACCAAGGTATAAAACAAGGAAACCATCCAGTGTTGCCCCAACCCAAGTGTGGCAGCTTCATTTTGGAGGAATCCTCAGGTTCAAATTCTCTGATGTGCTGCTGGAGGCTGTGGCGGCAGAGCAGGGAGGTCCAGGCCCAGGGCGATGGTTCATGTCCTAAAGATGAACTATGGCAGGCTTAGGGCTTGCATGCGCCAAGGTATCAACCAACAACAGGCAGGCAGGGGCTAGCACTGTGGATTAAGACACAGACGAAACACTAGTATCCCAGCAGTTCCTGACTGCTCCACTTCTGATCCAGCTCCCTGCTAAAGCTCCTGGGAAGGCAGTAGATGATGGCCCAAGTACTGGGGCCCCTGTCACCCATGTAGGAGATCAGGGTGGAGTTCCTGGCTCCTGGCTTTGGCACGGCCCAATATCCGGCTGTTGTGGCCAACTGGGAAGCACACCAGCAGATGGAAGAACCCTCTCTCTGCCACTTGCGCTTAAATAAATAAATTAGAAAAACAAAAGCAAGCAGGCTCTATCTGAAGCCTGTGTGCTCCTGTAGCTGACTTTGCCACTGCTGTATAAAAATACTCTTTTCTCACTTCTTTTCATCCCTGAAGCTTACGTTAGTAACGGGCACACTTTTCCCTGCCTTGTTTTTTTATCATAAGCATTTTGTAGAAGCTACTTCAGACAGTTTAAGAGTGGCAGCTCTCCTCTCCTGGCGGTGGGGGTGGTGCCCGAGGCGAGTGAGCTGTTCTCTCCAGAACCAGATCCCTTGCTGTGTTGGGAGGTCTTGGTCACGTGTTTGGAAGAAGCAGCTGCACATTGCTGATTTTAGGTGGAGTGTTACTCTTGGGAACTAAAACTCAGAAGAATGTTTACAAGTTAAGACCATGACATCATAATACTTCTTTGAGAAACACAGTTTTATTCATGGCAATATGAAATTATGCAATAGTAGCTCATAAATATTGGGCCACTTTCTGACACCAGTTGTTTTAAAACGACACTGCATGCCTTTTGAATACAGACACTAATTCTTTAAGAAGTGAATTTGAGCTTCAAACTTTAAAGAGTGCTTAGATTTGATTTAAAAAAAAATAGTTCTTTAATCCTTTGGAATCTACTATGCAGAATGTAAGGGGAGGAACTTGGCCTTCCACACACAGACAGCTGGTTGTCTGAGAATTGTTCAGTAACTCATTGTTTACCTCATTATTTTAAAGACAATTTTATCACAGATAGCAAAAAAAATTCCCAGTAATCGTGGTTGTTGCACGCTGTATCATTGTTTTTCTGCCTCTTCGTCGGTATCATCCTGCTTTGGTTACTGTGACTTTAGAGGCTCTCTGCTATCTGGCAGGGCAAGGTCCCTATTCATGTCTCTTGTTCACCCCCACCGCCCTCCCTTAACATTTCTTGGCTGTGTTGATGTGTTTAGTCTTCCACATGAATTCCAGAATCAACTTGTCAAGTTTCAGAATCTTCCCATAGGGATTTGGATTGGAATTGCATTACACTGACATCACTGTCATATTGAATCCTCCCAGCAGGACCTCGGCCTTTTTAAAAATTATTTAGGTCATTTTTAACGTCCATAAGGGTCTCTCACTTTCATACAGATCTGGTATGTTTCTTAAAAGGTTCTAAGTATATGTTCAGAATATATTTATTTTTGGCCACTATAGTAAATGAGCCTTTTTTTTTTTTACACTTTAGGTTTTAATTTTTTAAAAAATGGTTTTGTCTTAGTCAAGGTTCTTATGCAGCAATTTACAGAAAGGAACTTAGGCCAAAAAAAAAAAAAAAAGAAAAAAAAAGAAAAGAAAAGAAAAGAAAAAAGGCGAGTGAGAATTCTTTGGAAGGCGGCCAAGGCCAAGGGCAGGAAGCGCAGTGGGCCCCACACCGGGGAGGGAAGCCAGAGCTTCTGGGTCTGCTGCTGCCACGCACACACGCCCCACTCTGCTCCCCTCCCTCTGTGCTTCGCTGACTTTGCTCCTGCTTTTGTCCCACTTTCACACGTCTGGGAGGCAAGGGGACATAGGACACACCTGTTACAGGGGCTACGTGTAGGAACGGAGTGAGTCTCAGACGTAACTGTGGGCCAGGAGGCCCTGCTGAACCTCTGGTGCCAGAACCTTCCCGTCTGTTTCTTGCCCCAGAGTGGGAGTCGTTACAACACAGCAGTTACACCACCAGAGAACCTGTTCTCCTAGCTTTCAGGTAACTGATAAACAGGGAATGACAATCCCCAGGCTATGGGGTTAATAATTCAATTACACTAGACAGAGCCTCTGTGTTCACAATGTACTTCCACATAATTCACTTAATTGCCTTTTAAATGGCTGGGCTTTGGGCTCAGAACACAAAGTATGCCATTGAATGCTTTATGGGCATACATGCTTTTTCAGCTTGTCTTTTTGAATCATTATCTGTTTATCTGAAAAGCAGGGAGACCCAGGCAGACAAAGAGATCTGTCATCTGCTGGCTCATTCCCCAAAGACCCACAACAGCCAGGGCTGGAGTTGGGTGAAGCCAGGAGTCTCCAACTCAATCTGGGTCTTGCTCATGGGTGGCAGAGACCTAACTACGTGAGCCATCGCTTCCCAGGGTGTGCAGCAGCAGGAAGCTGGAATCAGGAGCAGAGGCAGGATGCAGGCCCAGGCACTCCGTGATACAGGATGTGGGCTTCCCAAGTGGGCATCTTATAGCTGCGCCATTTTGTCTTCTGAAAGTAAGATCCGGACTGCGCAGTGGTGTTAAGGTTAGGGTTAAGCCCCATTCTGCAACCCCAGCATCCCATATGGGTGCCAGTTTGAGTCCCGGCTACTCCATTTCCCATCCAGCTCCCTGCTGTGTGCTGCGACCACTAGATGACTCAAGGTCTTGGGCCCTTGCACCCAGTGGGGGACCAGGAAGAAACTCCTGGCTCCTGATTTCAGCCTGGCCCAGCCTCAGCTGTTGCAGCCAAGAGCAGATGAAGCTCTCTCTCTCTGTAACTCTGCCTTTCAAATAAATATATCTTTTTTTTTTTTTTCAAAAGATCTTTCAAATTTGGCAACTTGGGATAAGGATGACTACGACCCTACTCTCAACTGGCTTATGACTCATTTTGATTTTCCTTGTAGAAAACGGACACTTCATAAACTCTCCTTGGAAACCAGAAATCAGCTAAAAGACATTTTTCTTTGCTGAATGTCGCTCAGTCGCTGACATCAGCATTTGAGCAGGTACCTGTGGAAAGCTACACGGGGAACTTGGCAGTCTCTGGGCGATCGGTTACTAATTGAATGACCTTCACAAATAACCCGGCTCTGCGCAACTGTTTTCACCCTGGCCAACATGATTCGTGTGTAACATGAAGAAACGCGGGAAAAACCAAGCACAGGGCCACGTGGGGCGTTGGTTGACCAACGGACAATAGCAGGAGGGTGCGGCAGGGGAAAAAAAACGAGTTTACAGGGGCAGGAAGGGAAAGGCGGCAAAGGGGCCACGGCGGGGGCACGCAAGCCCCACGCGAATACCGAAAAACTTCCACGGCAGCCGCGCTCGCCTTCAACTCGAAAAGCAGCGTTCGCTTTGAATGAGGCTTTCCCTCACTAGCAGGAAATTCCATTCCGCCAAACACCGTTTCCTTGTCCAGGCTGCAAACGAAGTCAGCTTTTCCTCACTGGTCCACCAGGGCCGCGGCCAAACCCCGGGCAGCACCCCGCCCACAGAGCGACGCCCCGGCCAACCCGCCCGGCCCCGCCTCCTCCTGACACGTCCGCACGACTCGGGGCGTGGCTTCCGGCGACGGGACGCGCTTTCCGGGAGAGTCCCTCGGCTCCCTTTCCTTCCGGGGCGGGACTTCCTGTGCATCATAGATGCTGGGCTGTGGAGCTGGTAGGAGGATCCGACGGGAGGGTCTCCTGGTCCATTGAGCGGGCACTCCGGAGAGCACTTTTCCTCGCTTGTCTCTCTTGCATTTTCCTGCACGCCACGCCCCGGACGCCGGGCGGTGTCGGCGCCACCACCCAGCGGAGACTCTGCCACTTCCTCTTTCAGGCTCCGCCCCCGGCGTCTCGTGACCATGACGACCGCCCCGCGGGACTCAGTGGTGTGGAAACTTGCGGGACTGCTGCGGGAGTCCGGTGAGTGGACTTCCGGTTGAGCTGGGCTTCGGGCGAGGTGGGCGTGCCCTGTGCCTTGAGAGCCGCGAAGGTGCGATGGCTGGGGTCGCCAGCTGTCACTTGTCCCCCGGCTTGGTTTGCACCGCCGTTGCCTTCAGTGTCCTTGCTATCGTGGACGGTCTAAAGCCTGGCCATCCTGCTTTCTCCGCGCGGTCTCTGATACTCAGAGGGAAGTGGAAGTGGTCACTCTGCCGGGGACTGAGCGTCGTCGTGTACAGCACGGCGCCAAGTGTATTGTAGGCAGAAGCCGGGGAGTCAGACTCGCCTGGCTTGGAGTTTCAGAGTTGGCCCGAGAGGGTTTTCTGAGCCTCACGTTTTCTCGCCCGCAGAATGACATCATGATTCGTTTTAGCTCATGTGAAGTATTACTCATACAGCTTCTCTATTCATAGAGAGTCTTGCTCATGTAGATTTTTTTTAAGTGTCAGAATCGGCAGCTGTGGTTATTAGGATGGCTTCCCTCTGCCCGGGCAGTGGAGCCCTTCGCATGCAGGGTTAGCATTAGTTTTGGCAGAACAAGCTCTTAGACAGAAGTAGCAACTTCCCACCAGCTATGTGGCCTCAGTGGAGATCCTTAACTTCTTGGAGGCTCTGTTTTCCTGCCTGTAGGACCGGGTCAGTGGGGCTTCTCTTTGGGCACTTCGGGAGATGTAAATAGGGCCACAGAGTCATCTGGCACTTGTTGCCAGTTAAGGTCAGCTGCTGCTCCTCCCTGCTTGCCACTCAGATTGGTGGTTTTGGGGAATCTCTCTCTCCTGGCTTGTGTGACTAATGATACAGTGACCGTGCTAATGATATTACAGCTGCAGGGTGCTGTGCACCTGTTGTACTTCCTCCTCTGGAGCAGGAGGCTCTTTGAGGGTGGGAAGGGTCCTGGAACCACATCAGCGCTATCCCCATGTCGAGTGTGCAGAGCTGCCTCGTGCAGGGTTGTAGGATTGGTTCACTTCACAGAAGTTTGATAGGGCCCTGCGGGCTCGGGCGGCTGGGATGTGTGAGCATGTGACTCCGAGGAGGTTGGGGAGGGAGATCTTTGTGCTGGTGCTTGCAGGAATCTATGCACATGACACAGAACTATGTCTGCACATTGTACAGTGGTCTGATGTGCTGCCTCCGATGCAGTCATTGGGGGAAACTGGGTTAATAGGTGGGACCTCTGAATATTTCTACAGCATCCCTTCCTTCTGTCACTTTATTTTTTATTTATTTATTTATTTTTTGACAGGCGGAGTGGATAGTGAGAGAGAGAGAGACAGGGAGAAAGGTCTTCCTTTTCCATTGGTTCACCCTCACAATGGCTGCTGCGGCCGGCATGCTGTGGCCAGCGCACCGCGCTGATCTGAAGCAGGAGCCAGGTACTTATCCTGGTCTCCCATGGGATGCAGGGCCCAAGCACCTGGGCCATCCTCCACTGCACTCCCGGGCCACAGCAGAGAGCTGGACTGGAAGAGGGGCAACCAGGACAGAATCCGGCACCCCGACCGGGACTAGAACCTAGGGTGCCAGTGCCGCAGGCGGAGGATTAGCCTATTGAGCCGCGGCGCCGGCCATCTGTCACTTTATTTTAAAGTTAGAACAAATTCTTCATGCCCAGTCTATGGTTGGGTTCCTTCAGCGCAGTGGTGAATACGAAGGTGACTCAAATATGCCTTCAAGGATGACTGGGCCATTTAAAGCCCTGAAATCGTTAGTCTGGCCTTGCCAAGGCAGCTGCAGGTGGGACTTGAAATTTAGTAAATCTTGGGGCCAGCACTGTGGTGTGGAGGGTTAAGCTGCCACATGCAGTGCCAGTATTCCCTATGGGCACTGGTTCTTTTCCTGGCTGCTCCACTTCTGATTCTGCTCCCTACTAATGGGCCTGGAAATGCAGCAGAAAATGTACTGTATGTAGTATTATTTGAAAGTTTCTGACATGTGCATATTACGATCCCAGTCAGAAAAAGAAATCAAGAGAAAACCTTCCAACACCTCTTATGTAGAAGCGTGTCGTATGAATGTGCAGCAGGGTGATTTATTGAGAAAGGAGGAGGTTGGTCTCGAGCGGGGCAGTGGAAGGGGATGCGTCCGACAATGAGCGGGCTGTATTTCCAGTGCTGCGAGCAGACCAGGCCTATCTGAGCAGAAGGTGAAAGAATGTGCAAATAGCGGTTAGAGTTGTGTAGCACAGCAATCTCATGTGTCAGGCTGAATAGCTAGGACTCTGTTGAAGATGGGGGGAGCCACTGAACACTTCTGAGCCTGGGAGGAGGTTCAAAGTTTGATCCGAGAGCGGAAGATCGGTGACATGGGTGGGGGAGGTGTCTTTGGGGTGACAAAGTCTTAGAAGGAAGGGAAGGATCTTTTCACTGCGTCCTCCCTCCTGTCTGCCCTCTCCCTGCAGGGGACGCCGTCCTGTCTGGCTGTAGCACACTGAGCCTGCTCACTGGCACGCTGCAGCAGCTGAACCGCATATTTGAGCTGTACCTGGGGCCATGGGGCCCTGGCCAGACAGGCTTCGTGGCTCTGCCCTCCCACCCTGCCGACTCTCCCATCATCCTCCAGCTGCAGTTCCTCTTCGATGTGCTGCAGAAAACGCTTTCCCTCAAGGTGCTGGGGGCGGAGGGGGGTGGGATGGGGCAGGATGCACCCAGGAGAGTGATGAGGCTGGGAGTGGGTAAGGGGGCGAGAAATCTGCAGGGCCAAGAAGTGGCTGATGTCAGATGCAGGTGCTTGGGCTCCGGGAGGGAGACCTGCTGTGCCTTAGTGGCTGTGGTATTTTCCTTTTAGCTGGTCTATGTTCCTGGTCCTGGCCTCCCAGGACCCATCAAGATTTTTCCCTTCAAGTCTCTTCGGCAGCTGGAGGTACAGGGACGTTGGGGCACGTGGTGCATGAGATCCAGCTTGGGGCAGCCTCTAGGAGAAAGAGGTGGTGTCTTTTTGTGGGGAGGCCAGGCCCAAGTGTACCGTGTGCAATGTGTGGTACCCGCTCTCTTTTCCATTTATTGCTTCCCTTACCCTTTGTGGGGCTTCATCATTTTCTTCCCGCTCCCCGAGGGGAAGTGGGGATGAGGTCTTTGTCTTCTCTGAGGGTCTGCCCCCTCCCTCACCCTTCCCCTGCGCAGCTCGGAGGTGTCCCCCTCCACTGCCTGTCTTCTCTGAGGCTCCGCCCCCTCCCTCGCCCCTCCCCTGCGCAGCTCCGAGGTGTCCCCCTCCACTGCCTGTCTTCTCTGAGGCTCCGCCCCCTCCCTCGCCCCTCCCCTGCGCAGCTCTGAGGTGTCCCCCTCCACTGCCTGTCTTCTCTGAGGCTCCGCCCCCTCCCTCGCCCCTCCCCTGCGCAGCTCCGAGGTGTCCCCCTCCACTGCCTGTCTTCTCTGAGGCTCCGCCCCCTCCATCGCCCCTCCCCTGTGCATCTCAGAAGTGTCCCGTCTCCTGTGCCTGTCTTCTCTGAGGGTCTGCCCTCCCTCGCCCCTCCCCTGCGCAGCTCCGAGGTGTCCCCCTCCACTGCCTGTCTTCTCTGAGGCTCCGCCCCCTCCCTCGCCCCTCCCCTGTGCAGCTCCGAGGTGTCCCCCTCCACTGCCTGTATGGACTCCGTGCCATCTACTCGCAGCTGGAGACCCTGATTTGCAGCAGGAGCATCCAGGCTTTGGAGGTAAGCGGGGGGAGTGCGCCCTGATTCCTTGTCCCGCGAGACTCGGAAGACCGAGCTGTGTGTCCTCTCCAGCCTTCCCCAGCCCCTGCCTCCCTCCCGTGTCCTTGCTCGCTGTCCCATCCCGCAGCTCCGTGTCCCTGTCACACGTTCACAGTTACACCAATAGCACCGGCTTAAATCTCCTAGTGTCTGCCCTCCTCCTCTCCCTGCAGGGAACTCCTTGAAGACAGAGAGAGCTTTTCTTTTTCTTTATTTTTTTTTAAAGATTTTATTTATTTGAGAGGTAGAGTTATAGACAGAGAAAGAGACAGAGAGAAAGGTCTTCCATCTGCTGGTTCACTCCCCAAATGGCCGCGATGGCTGGAGCTGGGCCAATCTGAAGCCAGAAACCAGGAGCCTCTTCCAGTCTCCCACATGGGTACAAGGGCCCCAGCACTTGGGCCATCTTCTGCTTTCCCAGACTCTAAGCAGAGAGCTGAATTGGCAGAGAAAGAGCAGGGACTTGAACCAGTGTCCTTATGGGATGCGGGCACTGCAGGTGGAGGCTTAGCCTACTACATCATAACACCGTCCCCCGAAAACCCGTTTTTTTTTTTTTTTTTTAAGATTTATTTATTTATTTATTTGTGAGGCAGAGAGGGAGGGACAGAGATCTTCCGTCCACTGGTTCACTCCCCAAATGGCCACAATGGCCAGAGCTGGGCCAATACAAAGCCAGAAGCCAGGAGCTGGCTCAGGTCTCCCATGCAGGGGCAGGGGCCCAAGGGCTTGGGCCATCTTCTGCTGCTTTCCCAGGCACATTAGCAGGGAGCTGGATTGGAAGTGGAGCAGCTGGGCTCGAACCAGTGCCCATATGGGATACCGGTGCTGTAGGTGACGGCTTCACCCACTACACCACAGCGCCGGCCCCAAGCCCTGGGCTCTGTTTAAGCAGGCATCCGCGGATGGAGCCCAGTGTATGGGGCACGAATGACGGGATGGTAGGGCATGGCCTTGGTGTGGAGAGGAGGGTGGGGTGGAGTAAGGAGCTGCCGTGTGCCCGCTCAGGAGCTGCTCTCGGCCTGTGGAGGTGACCTCTGCTCTGCCCTGCCCTGGCTGGCTCTGCTTTCCGCGGACTTCAGCTACAACGCACTGACTGCCTTAGACAGCTCCTTGGTGAGTGCCTCAGGGAGGGACAGGGACGGGGTTCTAGCAGCAGGGCCAGTGGGCTGTGGGGCGTCCTTGTAGTGAGGCTCAGTTCTCTGCTTCCTCTCCCATCCCCCAGCGCCTCCTGTCAGCCCTGCGCTTCTTGAACCTGAGCCACAATCAAGTCCAGGACTGCAAGGGCTTCCTCCTGGTGAGTGTGAGCAGCCTGGCGCCGGCGGCGCCCTCACCCTCCCAGCTGGGCCCCTGCACTCCCACTTGCTCTCGCCCCGGGCGTGGTCACATCCACCACCAGGCGGATGTGGTTTGGGGGCTCAGGCGCTAGCATCAGACAAAGCAGAGTTCAGATCTCCACTTCGGATGACCGGTGTCACTTGGGCCAAACCAGGTGACTTCTTGGTTTCTTCACCTGTTAAGCAGAACTCGTAGGAGTAGCTGGAGGTTACCAGGAGCGCTGGATGTTACTTAGCCCGGTGCGTACACGCAGAGCTGCTGCTGAACAACCTGTCTTCTGGGTTCTCCCGCCCCCCTGCCAAGGGTGGACAAAGCTGGATGCTAGTTAAAGAAGTATGGACAGATGTTACTCAGTATTAACTGTGACGCTAGGGAAGAGGATGCAACAGGAACTAAATTCCACCTCAGTCAGTGCGGAAGAGACCGGGTGTTTTGAAGGGAGGGTGGGATGGGAGAATAGCAAGGCCTGAGCAGAGCCGGGGAAGTGGGAATTTACAAAAAGCAGCAAAGGGACGTTGTTCCATGGGAAACCCATCTGGGTTTGCTGACTGGACTTCGTCCATGCTAGGCCCCCACCTCCCACAGAGACTGAGAGAAGCGGCTCTGTCTTCAGGTATTGGCTGCAATGAATAGTAAATTCTTTGGCGGCCTTGAGTTTCCCCAGGCAGGAATTTCAGGGCACTGAAGTGGCCTTCCTAGGGATGTGGGCCCGAGCTGTTAGGAACCACATTAGTGTTTGTGCAAGGTTTTTCTTTTTTTTATTTGAGAGGAGAGAGAGATACGGAGAGCTTTCATCGTCTGGTTCACTCCCCAATTGCCTGCAACAGCTGGGACTGGGCCAGGCCCAAGCTGGGAGCTGGGTATGCAGTCCATGTCTCCCACATGGTAGGTGGGAACCCAGTTACTTGAGCCACCGTCACTGCCCCCCTCAAGGTCTGCGTTAACAGGAAGCTGGAGTCAGGCGCTGGAGCTGTGAATGAAACCCAGATACTCTGATGTGGGATGTGGGCGTCTTAACCACTAGGCCGGATGCGCCTGCTCCCTCTTGAAGTGTTTTTTGTTTTTAATTGATTTGAAAGACAGAGTGCCAGAGATTGAGGTAGATGTATTTTCCATTTGCTGTTTCACTGCTTCAGTGCCGGGACTATGACAGACTGAAGCCTGGAACTTGGAACTCAGTCTAGGTCTGCCATGTAGATGGCAGGGACCCAAGCAATTGAGTTATCCCTGCGTCTCCTAGGGTGTGCATTAGCAGGAAGCTGGATCAGCAGTGGAGGTGGGACCTGAACCTAGGCCCTCTGATATGGGCTGTGGGCATCCAAGTGGCACTCAACCTGCTACACTGCAACACTCACAAGATCTTTAATGTAGAAATGGAAAGAATTGAGTTCTTTTTTTTTTTTTAAGGAAAGGATTTACTTTATATATTTGAAAGAGTTGAGAGAGGGAGAGAGAGAATGATCTTTCATTGCCTGGTTCATTCCCTAAATGGCTGCAACAGCCATGACTGGACCAGTTCAAAGCCAGGTGCGTGGAACTCCTTCTGGGTCTCCTACGTGGGTGGCAGCGGCCCAAGTAGTTGGGCCGTCTTCTGCTTCCCCAAGCACATTAGCAGCGAGCTGATCAGAAGTAGAGCAGCCAGGACTTGACCAGTGCTCATAGCTCACTGTGCCATAATGCCATTCCTGAAAAAAAAAAATAATTTATTCTGAATTTTGTTGAGCTTGTGCTGTACAGTCTTCCATTTCTAATAGGCCAAGGTCGAGGCCTAGTTAGAAAGAGGTGTCCGAAGGCCTTCACCAGAGTTGGTCAAGGTGAGAATCTTTTGTCAGTCCTTCTTCTTGTTCAAGGAAAGAAGAGACACTTGTCTTTCCTCTGAACAACATAAATCCATTTCTTGCCTGATCAGCTTTTGTTCATTAAGGAGCAACTGAAGTATATATTGAGACCTGGTAATAGAGGGTATTTGCCGGATGGCGTGAGCATTTAATGGAGGACATTTCTATGGAAATGAAAAGGAAAGATCAGTGGTTGGAGCAGACCATAAATCCATTTTCTGAGTCCAAAAGGCAGCCAGCTGAGAAGATTTCTGGATGTTGAGCTCTGAGCTTCTTGGGAGGCGGCGTGAGGGTGGCAGTGGCAGTCTGATGGATTTCCTGGGCTGTGGTGTGGGTGCTGTGGCGCTGACTCAGACGTCGCTGGCACACTCACGGTCCTTTCCTGGATCTGAGCGTGGAAGATGCAGGGATTCCCGCGGACTGTCTCATGTAGTGGTTCATACATGAGCTGTCCTTTCAAGTTTCTATCAGTAGTCCAGTTTCAGCTCAATGGGGCTTTTTTCAGCTTCTGGGGGGAAGACAGTCTACAAGATAGCCCAGAGCTACAGTGTAGTCAGGTTTTCATTTTCAGTGTAGCCAATTCAAGAGGGAGGGACAAAGACCAGAAATGTTAGTTTGGAGAATTGTAGCCAAATACTGAAGCAAATTGGAAGAATTGAGGACTTGGTAAGGGCTGACAGAATGTGTAAACCAGGACCCAGTCCACTTTTACTAGTAGTAGATAATCAAACCTCAAAGAGAATGAACAGTACTAGGAGGCCTGTGGCCCAGTGGGTTAAACCATATGCCAAGATACCATATCGGAGCACCATTTCAAGTCCTGGCTCCCGGCTTCCAGTCCAGCTCCCTGCCAATGCAATGGAGAAGGCAGCAGAAGATGGCTTGGGTTCCTGCCACCCAGGTGGAGCTCCGAGTTCCTGGCTTTGGCCTGGCCCAGCCTTGGCTGTTGTGGCCATTTGGGCAGTGACCTGGTGGATGGAACATTTCTCTGTGTCTCTGTCTCTGCAACTCTACCTTTAAAATAAACAAATCTCAAAGAAGAAAAAAGAAAAAACAAACAGGACTAGAATCTAGTAACCCGTAAGGGTATGTAAATACTCTGTTTAGTTGAGACATGCAAGTTTTCTCTGTAGTCGCCACTTTCCCCCTTGATGAGACAGTAAGATGATTTACAAAATCAGCCTGGTCTCATTAGATTGGACCTGCTTAGTTGCATAGGTGCGGTGAGAATTGTAATTAACTACATAGGCTTTTTTTTTTTTTTTTTTTTTGGACAGGCAGAGTGGATAGTGAGAGAGAGAGACAGAGAGAAAGGTCTTCCTTTTTGCCATTGGTTCACCCTCCAGTGGCCGCCATGGGTGGCGCGCTGCGGCCAGCACATCATGCTGATCCAAAGCCAGGAGCCAGGTGCTTCTCCTGGTCTCCCATGGGGTGCAGGGCCCAAGCACTTGGGCCATCCTCCACTGCACTCCTGGGCCACAGCAGAGAGCTGGCCTGGAAGAGGGGCAACCTGGACAGAATCCGGCGCCCCGACCGGGACTAGAACCCGGTGTGCCGGCGCCGCAAGGCAGAGGATTAGCCTATTGAGCCATGGCACCGGCCCAACTACACAGGCTTTTTAAGTTTGCTTTGGTGGAACATATTTTTTTTAATAAAAGAGAGCTTTTTTTTTTAAAGGTTTATTTATTTATTTGAAAGTCAGAGTTACACAGAGAGAGGAGATGCAGAGAGAGAAGTCTTCCATCTGCTGATTCATTCTCCAATTAGCCACAATGGCCAGAGCTGCACCGATCCAAAGCCAGGAGCCAGGAGCTTCTTCTGGGTCTCCCACTTGGGTGCAGGGGCCCAAGGACTTGAACCATCTTCTACTGCTTTCCCAGGCGCATTAGCAAGGAGCTGGATTGGAAGTGGAATAGCTGGGGCTTGAACTGGCACCCATATGGGAGGCCAGCGTTGCAGGCAGTGGCTTTACCCGATATGACACCATGCTGGCCCCTAAGGGAGACGTTTTATAGATGCAGTTTGGAAGATCTTGGTTCCTGAAGAAACCGTGGAAGTTCCAGAATCTCCTCAGTAAAGTCAGGCCAGCAGGAGTGGGGAAGCATGTAGTCAACAGGGGTCTCTGGCAACCAGGGAGCTCTTGGGAGGAGCAGGTTCAAGAAGCAAGAACAGGAATTGGGGAGTGAGTGGATTGTCCCTGGAAGCAGAGTGAGGGAGAACTTCCAGCCCAGGCGGGACTTTGAGACACAGCTGGGACTCTCACCTCGAGGCAGAGTCCGTCTCACTGCCTGGTGGCCCTTCGTCCCAGGCGCTGGGTGAGGAGTCTGCTCAGCAGTGGGTCTGCCACTCATCAGGCAGGAGTGAAGCAGAGCCTTCAAAGGTGCACCCTGGGTCCTGGGGGAGAGGCCCGGGGCCCAGTGACGGCTCTCCTCCCATCTGAGTCTTGCTGCCAGGTGGCCGTCACAGCTGGGTGTGGGTGAAGACGGGTGTTCATCAGTAGTCAGCTACTGTGTTGTAGAGGGAAGAGGGTCGGGGGTGGGCTGAAGTCCACCTTCCACCTCTATGCACAGTCACAGCATCTTTTTTTAAAATTAATTTTAAAGATTCGTTTATTTATTTGAGAGGCAGAGTTACAGAGAGGACTTCTATTTGCTGGTTCACTTCCCAAATGGCTGCAATGGCCAGATCTGAGGTGATTCAAAAACAGGAGCCAGGAACTTCTCCTAGGTCTCCCACGAAGGGTGCCCAAGCACTTGAGCCGGCGCTGTGGCTCAATAGGCTAATCCTCCACCTTGCGGCGCCGGCACACCGGGTTCTAGTCCCGGTTGGGGCGCCGGATTCTGTCCCGGTTGAGCCATCTTCCACTGCTCTCCCAGGCCGTCAGCAGGGAGCTGGTTTGGAAGTGGAGCAGCCGGAAGTGAAACCGGCACCCATGTGGGATGCCAGCGCCTCAGGCAGAAGTTTAACCTGCTATGCCACCTCACCAGCCCTGGCCACAGCATCTTAGAGGGAGAGTGAGAAAGGGGTGCGGTGGGGCCTGAGCAGAGCCAGGGAAGTGATTTGCAAAGAGCAGGAAGGGAACGTTGGTCTGGTAAAACCCATTAGGTTTGCTGATTGACTGGCCCTTATCCAAACTAGGCCCAGACCTCCCACAGAGACCAGGAGACAGGGGTCCCGTGCTCAGACGTTGGCTGGAACAAATAAAATCTTTGGCAGCCTCAGTTTCCTAGGCAGGAACTTAAGTGGGCTGCTGGGGCCATGCTGGGGCTGTGGCCTTGAGCTGTTGGGAACCGCGCTAGTGTCTGTTCAAGTCTTTCCGCGGGGCGGGTGGGCGTGGTGGGGGAGGAAACGGTTTGTGCCAGAGACGACAGTTTTTTAGGGGAGGTTGAGGCCGAGAGAAGTCTGCTCCGAGGTGTCTGACTAGCTTTTGGTCAAGGGGAGTCTTTGTTTCCCTGGCCCTGCCAGGATTTGTCTGAGCTCTGCCATCTGGACATCTCCTATAACCGCCTGCATTTGGTGCCGAGAATGGGACCCTCCGGGGCTGCTCTGGGGATCTTGATCCTGCGAGGCAATGAGCTTCAGAGCCTGCGTGGTGAGCCTGGGGCACAGGGGCCAATGGGGAGGGGAGTGCGAGTGCGGCGGGGGTGCGGTGGAGGGGGCAGTGGTCCTGCAGGTGGCCTGGGGACCACGTGCCTCTGAGCCTCCTGAGGGTTCGGAGTGGGCCTGAGCCGTGAGGGTGTGTCTCTCAGCACCCCCCTATCCTCGCACCCCCACGCCCTTCCTCCCTTCTCGCCCCCGCCCCAGGCCTGGAGCAGCTGAGGAACCTGCGGCACCTGGATGTGGCGTACAACCTGCTGGAAGGACACAGGGAGCTGTCGCCGCTGTGGCTGCTGACTGAGCTCCGCAAGGTGAGTTGTGGCTGGGCCCTCTGCCCCTGGACGGGAGGCTGGTGCCTTCCTCCCACGGGGCAGGTCCCAGGCACCCGTCATCCTCTCATCCTGCCTCTCAGCTCTACCTGGAGGGGAATCCTCTGTGGTTCCACCCCGAGCACCGAGCCACCACTGTCCAGTACCTGTCACCGCGGGCCAGGGATGCTGCTCCTGGTGTGAGTGACTGCCCGGTGTCCCTCTGCTTTCCCTTTCCTGCCTAGTCCCGCCTCCCCCGCCCACTCTTGCTGTCCCTGGGGAGGGGCCTGGGACTGAACCCCATGTTTACTCTTTGTTCAGTAGCTAGCTGACCCACCCCAGCTCTCCGTCTCCTCTTTGTCTCTGTTCAGTTCCTTCTTGATGGCCGGGTCTTGTCACCGAGGGACTTCCAGGTCAGTGCGTTGGGGCAGGGGAGCCGGGTGACAAGGAATGCTGTGAAGGGAGGGTGCCGATGGGGAGCTGGGGTGGCAGGGCGTCTTCCTGGACATCCTTGGTTGGCGTGGGTGGGGCATGGGTGCTCCATGGCCCCAAACTGTCTCTTCTTCCATGTCACATGCCAGACCCCTGCTTCTTTGGGGCTTGGCCCGTCTGCCCCACCTGTGCCCTGGGTAGCAGGGAGTGTGACCGAAACCTCAGGTGGCCCTGAGCTGAGTGACAGCCTCTCCTCAGGGGGCATTGTGACCCAGCCCCCACTTCGGAAGGTTAAGGTCAGTGGCGTTTTTGATCGCCTTGTGTCTGGGGTTGGGTCTGTCCCTGTGTCCCTGGCTTCTCTGTGGTCAGGGAGTAGTAGTAGGGAGGCCTTACCTTGCCAGTGGCTGTCAGTGGGGGGTGGCCACGGGTGGTGGACCTGGCAGCCCTGGCTTTTGTAGAGCTCAGTCCCTCTGCCTGCCCTCAGAGCCGAGTGCGCGTGAGGCGGGCCAGCATCTCTGAGCCCAGCGACACAGACCCGGAGCCGCGGACTCTGGAGCCCTCCCCTGCCGGTAAGTCGGCCCCTCGCCCCTCCCGCCCCGCCCAGCTCTCTCTGCCCTCCGAGTCAAGTGAGGGCCTGGTCGGAGAAGCTGTTTTCAGGTGGGTCGGAACACTGTAGAGGGTCTCGGGTCTTCCCTCCTCTCTCCTGGGTTAAGGAAAGAAGTGAATGTCCTGGGCAGCGTTTGCCGGAGGGTTTCAGGGATCATTAACGTTGAGATGGGTCGCAGCCGTGTAGGAAATGGATCTCGTGGCCAGATGAGTTTGGGAAACGCTAGGCTGAGCATCCACGCTTCTTCCCTGAAGGCCGTCTCAGGAGCTTAGATGCAGGACTGTGTCCTGCGAATCTCGAGCAGCGTTCCAGAGCGCGCCCGGGGACGCGCCGCTGAGGGAACGCTGCTGCCCCGTGCACAGCCGGGTGCTGCTCGCAGAGGCGCGCCCAGGAGAAGAGGCTGGGCTTACTCAGCTCTGCCCCCCCACCCCCCCAGAATGGTTTGTGCAGCAGCACCGGGAGCTGGAGCTCCTGAACAGCTTCCGGGAGCGCTTTGGCTGTGACTGGCTGCAGTACCGGAGCCACCTGGAGACCTCTGGGAGCCCCGTTCCTGCTGCCTCCAGGACCGCCGCCCTCAGCACACCTCCTCTGGACTCCCCGGATCCAGAGACGCTGTCCAGCACCCTGCCCAGCCTTCCGCCCGCAGAGAAGGGAGCCACAAGCCCCGAGGAGTCACCCCCAGAAATGTCAGAGGAGGGCAGGTTGGGGGCAGAGCCGCAGGAGGAAGAGGAGGGGGCGGAACAGGAGGAAGAGGAGGAAGCAAAGGAGGAAGAGGAGCAGGCCCAGAAGGAAGTAGCAGGTGGGCACCGCGTGGCCCTGGGGAAGCTGGCTAAGTGATGCGCATGTCGGGGAGTGGGGACAGGGCAGACCGGTGGGAGGGCAGAGCCTCGGGGGTGCTGTCCCTCCCTCCAGGCCTCTCCTGGTCTCTCCACAGTGGAGCTCTGCCGCCCCATGCTGGTGTGTCCCCTGCAGGGGCCCGAGGGCGTGCGGGGCCGGGAGTGCTTTCTCCGGGTCACTGCTGCCCACCTGTTTGAGGTGGAACTCCAGGCGGCTCGAACCCTGGAACGGCTGGAGCTCCAGTGTCTGGAGGCCGCTGAGGTAGAGCCCGAGACGCCAAGCCAGCAAGAGCCAGAGCCCGAGGTGAGGGGGCGTCCTCAGCGTGGCTGTCGGTGCGTGCCGGGCCCTGGACCGTACTCCCTCAGGGCACTCGGAGCCGAGCGGGATGCTTGGGGGACGAAGCCTGTGTGAGGGTGGCTTAGGGGCTGGGCTGAGGAGTGGAGATCCACGCTGCAGCTTGGATGTCAGCACGGGCCCTTGGACGGGGTCCTGAGAGCCTGTTTCCCTCCGAGCTCTCAGGGCAACACTGGTCCCTCCCTGACACCCCCACTCCACCACGGCTTTCACCTGACCCCCTCTTCCTGCGCAGGGCTCAGGCCTGCCCCCTGGGGCCCCCGTCCTCGTGCTGCACTTCTCCTACATTTGCCCTGACCGGCGCTTGCGTCGCTATGCGGTGCTGGAGCCCGATGCTCACGTGGCTGCCCAGGTGAGGGGCTGGAGCAGGCCTGGGAGGCTGCGGGGTATGGGAAGTCCTGCCCCCAGCTGCCCCCTAACCCCCTCTGGCAGGAGCTGCTTGCCGTGCTGAGCCCAGTCGCTGGCAGAGCTCAGAAGCAGCTGGGGGAAGCCAGGGACCTGCGGGGGGGCAGATTCCAGTGTCTGCGTTGTGGCCGTGAGTTCAAGCCCCACAGTGAGGAAGGCTGGAGGCCTCTGTTCCGAATGACAGGTACCAGGCCTGCCCTTGACCTCGCTGCCCACAGCCCTCCCCGCTGCAGGGAAGGTGGCTGTGGGTGGGGCTGGGGAGGGGGTGGGAGAGCCCCAGGGAGGAAGGGCGCGAGGGGGCGGGGAGCGACTGTTCTGTTGGAAGGGGAACTAAAACCTGCTGCTAACCTTTTCAAGAAAGAAAATGAACAAGAAAAGGAGAAACTGTTTTTCCCCTCTAGTCAGGAAGTGTCGCCTCTGTAGCTGCTGCAACATTATTTTTTCATGACCTGAAGGCTTTCTGGCCCCTCGGGCTGCGCTTCAGAAACGACGTGAACCCCGAGGAGCCCTCCCCGCAGGATTGGGTTCTGGTGCTGCCCCCAGAGCGAGTTTGGCTGCTGGTGTCCTCCCTGGCTGACTTTGGAAGCCGCTTGATACCAAATAGTGCCTTGTGGCTCTTCTAGTCTGTTATTTGCAGCAGGTTTTTTCCACTGTAGGCCGCTCAAAAGGCGGTGTCTTTGAAGAAGAAAGTAGTCTTGAGCACAGCTTTGTCGGGGTGCCTGATTTTTATTAGCCCCCCTCCTTTCCGGCAGCAGCTGAAGCAGGGGTTTACATTTTGTTCAGAAAGTGGAGCCGTGCTCTGTTCCCCAGCCTCAGCCCGTCCAGTCGGCTGCTGCAGGCCCCACAGCACAGTGTGGACGACTGAAATAGTCCCAGCCCTCCTGCGCCCTGGCGCCCTTCCTTGGGGCCCTGTGGCCTCGGGTTCCTTCTGTGGTGGCATTATTAGCGATCACTCCCTGTGCCAGGGACTCCTTTTATGTGAGCATCAGTTACCTCCTCTGAACAAAGTGCCCCGCACCGGGACGCTCCTGGGGGATTTGGAGGCCACACGAAGGCACCGGGCACAACACCTGGCATGAGGCAGGTCTCCCTGACTTGGCCGTGGCTGTCATCTCCTGCAGCCAGGTGGCCTTGGACAGCAGGTGTAAATTGTTTAGTCTTTCCTCTGTTTGTTTGCAAGATGGGAGAGAGGGAGTTTGACACTGGCCTGCACTCTAGCGCATGCCCAACACCGTGCAGCTGCTCGGTGTTTTCTCCTCACTGCTGCGCGGTGTCCTGGCCTCTGTGCTCTTCCCTGCAGCCGTCCCCCCTGCCCTGGCAGACACACACCAGGGGCATCCCCGTTCTGCAGATGAGGAGCCAGGCTCATTGAGTCCCTGTGACCTGGCTTTGGCTGTAGCGCCATTCATAGGGTCAGGGATCGGGCCCAAAGCTGTCACTAGAGTCCTTCAGCTGTTGATTTTGGTGTTCAGACATGGCTGGTAGCACAGAGGTACTTGGTCAGCCCAAGCTGGGATGGACTCTAGACCAAGATCGTGAGTCGGCAATTTTGATGAGAGTGGGGGTAAGCGCGCCTGCGCTTTATAGCTATCTTCCACCTTGCGGCGCGGCACACCAGGTTCCTAGTCCCGTTCGGGGCGCCGGATTCTGTCCAGGTTGCCCCTCTTCCAGGCCAGCTCTCTGCTGTGGCCCAGGAAGGCAGTGGAGGGTGGCCCAAGTGCTTGGGAGACCAGGAGAAGCACCTGGCTCCTGCCTTCGGATCAGCGCGGTGCGCTGGCTGCAGTGCGCTGGCTGCGGCAGCCATTGTAGGGTGAACCAACGGCAAAAGGAAGACCTTTCTGTCTGTCTCTCTCTCTCACCTCTCACTGTCCACTCTGCCTGTCCAAAAAAAAAAAAAAAAAAAAAGAAGGTGGGGTGTATTTGAGGAGGCTGTGGGTTAGCGTGTGCCTCGTGGGGACAGGGCCTGCTGAGTCAGCACCTGTGCCGGGGAAGGAGTTGCAGGGCTCGGGTTACGGTGCAGTTCTAAGGCTGGAGATGCCACACTGGGAGGCCTGAGGTGGGCGGAGAGTGCTGTAGAGTGGTGCGGGCTGCTGTGCTGTGTGCGGGAGGCTCACGGGGCCTGGGTCCGCCCTTCCCTGCAGAATCTCCTGCTGTGTGTCCACACTGTGGTAGTGACCATGTGGTTCTTCTGGCTCTGTCTGGGACAACCCCTACCTGGGAGCAGGAGCAGGGAGAGCCGTCGCCGGTTCCCTCTCAGTCCTTGAGCCCTGTCTGTGACCCCTCTGGCCACGGCGACCACCTTGATGGGGCTGACGGCGTCCCACCCCAGGCACCGATCTCCCACACCCGCAGCAGCTGGAGCCTCAGCCCCCGTGAGTACAGGCGACAGCCAAGAGTGGGTTGGAAGTGGAGATGGAGCCCTGGACTGCCAGAGGCAGCTGATGGTCCACTGGTTGCCCCCAGCCCTTGAGCGCTGTGGCCTGCGCTCCGTGGACCACCGGCTCCGGCTCTTCCTGGATGTCGAGGTGTTCGGCGATGCCCAGGAGGAGTTCCAATGCTGCGTCAAGGTCTGTGACACCTGACACTGCCCGTGCCTCTGACTCGCCCTGGTGCACACTGCTTCCACCACGGCAAGTCGAGCCGGGTCGGGGGCTCTGGAGGGATCAGATCCAGCTCCTGGTTTCAACTCCAGCCTCCCTTCCTTGGCTGTGGGCACACGTGGCTGTATTTGAGTCTCAGTGGCCACCTTTCTCCACGGGACCACACTTGCCTCGCAGGGTGGCAGCACGAGAGCCGATGTCCGTAAGCTGCTCGGTGCAGCCCCTGGTGCTCAGGATGTGGGGCCTCCTGTACCCTCACAAATACACAGTGCGTTAGGCCTGTTTGTTGAGCACCTGGTACATGATAGACATTAAGGAGGGTAAGCCTGTCTTGCCCTTGATCTTAGAGTCCGGGGTAAGGAGTGGATGACGATTGTGCAACGTGAAAGTGCTGTGGTTCGGCCAAGGGCTAGAAGGGGCATCTGGTGCTCCGTGAGTTCAGGAGCCTGCCTTGGAGGTGCTGCCTAAGCTCAGTGTTGAAGCATGAGTTAGAAGTAGGGTGGCAGGAGGGGCTGGTGTTGTGGCGTAGCAGGTAAAGCCGCCATCTGTAGTGCCAGCATCCCATCTAGGCACTGGTTCCCAGCTCCCTGCTAATGCGCTTGGGAAAGCAGCGGAGGATGGCCCAAGTCCTTGGTCCCCTGCACCCTGTGGGAGACCTGGAGGAAGCTCCTGGCTCCTGGCTTTGATCCCATTTGGGGAGTGAACCAGAGGATGGAAGATCGCTCTCTCTCTCTGCCTTTCAAATGAATAAAATAAATCTTCAAAGTAGGGAGGACAAGGATGTCGAAGGTGAAGGAGGAAGGGAGGCGGGAGGGCCAGGGAGCAGGGCGGGTGGCCTGGGGAGAGGCGCCAGTGTGGCTGCTAGGGATTTGGCCTTGGTGCTGAGGACTGCTGGGAGCACCGGAGGACCTGATGGCTTTGTGCTTTGGAACTGGCTGGCAGAGTGTGCCGGGTGGGCTGGGGGCGGTGAGGTGACAGAGGGGAAGCACTAGGGTCTGAGCCGGGCAGGGGCTCACGGTGGCGTTGCGGCAGGGAGAGCGGGCCAGCTTTCAGTCCCCTTCTCCTGCACTAATGACTTCCTCTTCCCTTAGGTGCCCGTGGTGCTGGCCGGCCACACGGAATTCCCGTGCCTCGTGGTCGTGTCTGATCACAGGCTTTACCTGTTGAAAGTGACGGGGGAGATCCGGTGAGTTAGCTGGGGGCACGGCTGGGGCCTCCCTCCTCATCTCTGTCCTCACTCTCTGACACCTGCCCCGTCTCTCTCCACAGCGGGCCTCCGGCTGGCTGGCTGCAGCCGACCCTGGCCATTCCGCTGCAGGATCTGAGTGACCTAGAGCTGGGCCTGGCAGGACAGAGCCTGCGGCTGGAGTGGGCGGCTGGGGCGGGAGGCTGTGTGCTGCTGCCCCGAGATGCCAGGCGTTGCCGGGTCTTCCTAGAGGAGCTCATGGGTGAGACAGGGGAGAGGCCGGGGGTGGGGCTGCGCTGCCCGGGTCTGGCACCCTGTGATGGTGACAGTGACAGTGGAGCTTGTACAAGTTTCTGAAGTCAAGGACTGTGGAGAATGGGAAGGTACTGAGAGGTGGAGGGCTGGGCTACAGCAGAGCAGAGCCTGCTGAGGCTTCTGGCTGGCTCTGTGCAGATGTCCTGGGGTCTCTGCCCCCTACCCGGAGGAACTGCATCAGCGCCAGGGAGGAGGAGGTGACCCCACAGCACCGGCTCTGGTGGGTTTGGTGCCCAGGCCCTCTCTCCCTAGACATGGTCCTGTCACCTGTCCTCATGCCCACACCGCCCCATGGGTTCCTCCTGACCCAGCCACCATGCTTCCTTCCCACTGCCCCTCGCACCCTTCCGCCGCCACCAGCTGACCTGCCCACGTCTGCCGCGTTCCTCCTAGGCCACTGCTAGGAAAAGACGCTTCGTTGGAGGCCCCCCAGTTCTTCTATCTCCGGGCGTTCCTGGTGGAAGGTCAGGGCTGTGTGCGGCAGCTGGGCCCCCAGTCTCTGTACCCATCAGCCTCTGCGGTGCCCCCGTAACAACTGGCACTTGGTGGATCCTGGCCTTCCTTGGACCCCTGGCTGGACTCCAGTGGTGGCCCTGGTGGTCCCGCTTCTCGGGGGGGCCTGGAAGGCGCCTGTGTCCTCAGAGACCTGTGCTTTGGGGTCCTGGCTGTCCCTGACGTCGGGCAGATCATGAGTCTGCTCTGCCTTGTCCTGTCGGAGAAGCTGGGGCTGGGGAGGGACCCTTGTTGGAGCTGGGTGGGGGCCGGCACAGGCTCCCCTGTGTGGAGCCTCAGAGGTCTGGAGACTGCAGATCCCTGGTGTTCGGAAGGGGAGGGTCTTGCCCCTGGGGCACAGGCTGTTCTTCGTCCAGCCCTGTGAACGGTTCCTCCCGAGCCGCACGGGGACTTGGGCCCTCGATGGCCTTCTGCTCTGGATCTTACCCTGCCTCTCTCCCTCCAGGCCCCTCTGTGTGCCCCGTGTCCCTGTTGCTGACTCTGTCCACCCTGTACCTGTTAGACGAGGATGCGGCAGAGCCCCCTCTTCCAGCAGCTTCGGGTGAAGCCTCTGAGAAGGCCCCCGCATCGGGGCTGGGCCCTTCCCTGCACGTCCGGGGGCAGCAGCCCCTGAGCAGCCTGAGCTCCGTGCTGCTCTACCGCACAGCCCCGGAGGCGCTGCGCCTGGTCTTCTACGATGAGGTGTGTGTGTGTGGGCGGGACGGCAGAGGGCATGGGCTCTGAGGACAGGGTGGGGAAATGGGTCTGGGGAAGCTGGGGATTGGAGCCAGGATGGAACTGAGGGCTGGACAGTTGGTGAAGGGGACGCGGAGCCAGAGTGGGGACCTGGGATCGCCCCAGGTGCGGGTGAGCAGCAGGGGGAGCGCGGGGCAGCTGGCAGTGTGGACACCCAGGACTTGAGCCACTTGGTCGTGGGAGGCCTTTCCTGAGGCCCCAGCTGCTTGCCCTGTGCCAGCTGGGCCTGCTGCGCACGGCTGTGAGCTCCACGGCCACAGGAGGAGGAAGGACTGTCTCTAGTTCCATTTCACAGATGAGGAAATAGGCTTGCGGGCATTAGCAGGAATTGAGCCCGTGCGATTCCTTGGAACTGACTGTAGAACTTCCGCTACATCAGGGAAGGGGAAGGAGATGAGTTGATAAACCTGGAGGCCCTCTGGGGGCTTCCTGTAACTGTTGACTGGGTTCAGTTCACAAAGCTCAGAGTCGGGGGTCTTTTATGGGAACTGATACAGGCTTGGGAAGGAGATGAGCCAAGGAGGGGTGGTGAGTCCTCCCTGGCCTCCCCATCCCCGCCTGGGAGTTCTCCCTGTCTCTCACCCAGCTAACTGCTTGGCCTGCCAGGTGTCGCGGCTGGAGAGCTTTTGGGCACTGCGTGTTGTGTGTCGGGAGCAGCTGACAGCCCTGCTGGCCTGGATCCGGGAGCCCTGGGAGGAGTTGTTTTCCATTGGACTACGGACGGTGACCCAAGAGGCCCTGGACCTTGACCGATGACACTGCCTCTCTGGTCGTGACCTAGAGCGCGAGCCAAGCCACAGATACTTCTCCTGAACTCTGCATCTGGCTTCTGGACTCTGGCTGGAGACTTCTGTAGCCTCTGGGCGCTGGCCAGTGAGACACCAAGTGACCCGTGGTTAAGGGAAGGGCTAGAGAAATGGTCTGGCCTCTGGCACTGCTGGCCCATGGAGTCAGGCCAAGTGGTTGGTAGGAATGTTTCTCCTGCACTTTTTCTCAGGTATCAATAAAGTTGTTTCATTGCAGGTGTTGTGGGTGGTGGTACTTAGGTACGTCACTCATGGGCCAGCCACGTCCCTAACCTTTTCAGCAAACTGCTCTGCGTGTAACTCTTCCCCAGTGGGGACCCCCAAGCAGCCGTGTTGGTGCTGCAACACCCCATCTCCAGCCACACTCCGCATGGCCCCAGCTTATGTGGGCACCTGGCCAGCAAGCTGCAGTGGCCCATTTTGTACCTGGCGTAAGCTCGCTGCCGCAGAGTGGGGCGGGTTGGATTCACACTCTGGGGTTTCAGATGGGAACTAGTGAGGATCTCGGGCCATTGAGGAGGGTGGCTGGGGAGAGGGGTGCTGGGCCGTGGAGGGAGAGGTCAGCATCTAGAACTTTCTGTGCTTGCCTTCTCAGCGCCACCTCACTCATCCTAGTGGCATGGGTGGGCTGCCCCGACTCCTGCACCCCTGGCTCTGTGTGTGTGCTGTGGTGATTGGCTCAGGACCGCTCGGGTGGCCTGGTTTGGCCTAGCCCTGGCCTTTGACTGGAGCTGTCCAGACAGAGGCGAGTGTCCTCCTGGTGGAGTGCTGTGGAACAGCCTGGAGCTGCTGGCCACAAGGGGAGAGCTTTCCTGAAAGTAGAGCCTTGCAGAGGATCCCGCCCATGAAGAGGGAACAGGAGCAACTCCTGGGGTGTCTTTGGAGCGCCTGGACCCAGCTGTGCCTGAAGGCGGACCCCTTGCAATTTTACATATGCAAGTTAAAGGAAACAACCCCCCCTCCCCTTTTTTTGGCTTTCCCTAATTTGAGCCAAGTATGAACCCTGAGGGTCTTAGCTAAACAACCTCCCACTCCCAACTTGAGTCTGGCTGAATGGGGATGAGCACAGCGGGGGCACTGATGCCCCCTGATGCATGTAGAGTGACCCTGGGCTCTGCTTCCTGTTCCTGAGGCTCTGTGATGAGTCCGACCCACTTTCCGTGCCAGGCCACGGACTTGGCTAGTGTGTGGACAGCCTGCCTGGAGGGACACACAGCAGGGCTGCAAAAGGGTGTGGCAGCATCCTGACCAGCCTGCTGTCTCTATGTGGAGTTAATATGGGGGCCATTGAAAAAGTTTTTAGTAAAATTTATTTGAAAAGTAATGAACATACATTGAGAAAATATGCTATACTCAAGGACAGACAGTAAAACATGAGCTGCTCGGGGCAGGCGCTGAGGTGTAGTGGGTAAAGCCACTGCCTGCAGTTTGGCATCCCATATGGGTGCCAGTTCTGGTCCTGGCTGCTCCACTTCCGATCCAGCTCTCTACTCTGGCCTGGGAAAGCAGCAGAAGATGGCCCAAGTCGTTGGGCCTTTTCTGCACCCGTGTGGGAGACCCAGAGGAAGCTCCTGGCTCCTGGCTTTGGATCAGCGCAGCTCCAGCCGTTGCAGCCAACTGGGGAGTGAACCAGCAGATGGAAGACCTCTCTCTGCCTCTCCTTCTCTCTCTGTGTGATTCTGACTTTCAAATAAATAAATAAAAAAAGAGCTGCTCTTGTGTCCCTGACCCCTGACCTCCCCCTCCAGGCTCAAGCATTGTTACCCATTTTTGTGCATCTGTCTAGAAGTTTCAATGTACATGTACCTGCACGTGTATGCAGTTTGCTCAGAAAAGGGTAATTAAACCCAGCGAGCTCTGTAAGAATCCACAGGCTTCTAAGACGGATGTTCCCAGCAGGGCCTGGAGGAGGAAACTGACCCGTGGAGCTGGCCAGTTGGGAGGCACTGGTCAGGGTAGGGGACCCTGGGCCCTGGGTGGAGGAGTTGGGGTCCAGAACACCCTGTGCAGAGGCTTGGGAAATAAACTCACCTACTTCTGTTCCACTCCGAGCTGCCCTGAATTTTTAATTGAAGCAAATTAAAACTTCCCAAAATACTAGTCCACTTTCCCGGGGATGTGCACACCCCCTTCCCTGTCTGCTTTTGCACCGTCTATGAGCAGTGCCCGTCTGAGAGGCCTCCTGGCCTGGAAGCTGGGGCGGGTTGCGGGCCAGGCAAGGTGGGGCAATACCCTGGTCACAGGGTGACTTGCAGGCCCGGGTGCGGCCTGGGCAGTTGGGAGAGGAGCTCCGTCTGTTTGTGCCTCAAGTCGCTGCACGTGCTGTTTTTCTGAACAATGTCATGAGGTTCTCCGCAGCCACTGTGCAAATTGCTCCTCTGATGATCCAGGAGACAGAGGTGCTGCTGTTGCCAACTGAGTGAGCGGTGGGGGGAGGCCGTGACCGTGACCGCCACTGGAGGCCCTGGACTCTGGCTTCGCGCCTCACCAGGAGCAGGTGCCGCTCAGAGCCTGCCGGCCTCGGCACGCTGCAGAGTGACTGCTGCGGTGGCGACACTGGGCACGGTGTCAGGAGACACTTGCCTCCCACTTGCCCCTGGACTGTCCCCAGAGGTGGACTGTCCGCTCAGTCTGGCTTCGCCCTCCCGCAGGCGCGTATCGATAGCCGGGTCTGTGTCTGGCCTCAGGCCGGCTGGCACGAAGGGCACACAGCAGAGACTGCCCAGCTCCTGGAAGGAGGACTCAAAACTGCCCTCAGGCCCCAGTGCTGTGTTTTCTGTAGGAAGGAGGTGGGAGGGGATAGAACAGATCCCGTTCGTTCGCTCATGTTTGTGTCTGCGGATCCTAGAGGGAGGAACAGACAGGCCATAGGGGTGAAGGCGAGAAAGGGGCAGAAGCAGGCAAGAGGGTATTGAGGGATTTTATTTTTTTTTAACTATTATTAACATTTTTAAGCTCTATTACAGACTCAAAATGTATATTTAACCGTTCCTGTGAGGCCCTGTGGAGCCTGGTGGCCCATCAGTGGTACAAACATCGATTCCTGAGACCTGGGAAGGCGAGCAGGCGGGCTGGACAGAGCTGTCTCTCTCTCAGTGGGGCAGGGTCCATTCTTGCTGAGGGGTCGATTCAGCTGGAGCTGGGGGCAGGGGTGACATCCACCCACCCCCCTCACCAAGATGCTGTGGAATTTTCTGGAAGACCCTGCCCGCACCACTTAGCTGCTGTTGGGCACTCAGCCACGGTTCTGTGTCAGGCTTTGCAGTATTTTGCATCTGTTGACTGAGGGGCTGGTGTGGTGCAGTTGAGGTGTAAGAACACCACAGGGAGTTTGGAGCTGAGTGAGCCAGGATTGTGCTGTAGCTTCGTGGCTATTTAAGCACAGGCAAATAACACCCTTGCTTCCACACCTACAGCGTCAGGATGAAACTCCTCCATAACTTACCTAGCTTTGCAAGGTCATCGAGGGTGAACCAAAAAACATTAAATAGGAGCTGGCTAAAAAAAAAAAATAATGGCCGGCGCCGTGGCTCACTAGGCGAATCCTCCGCCTTGTGGCGCCGGCACACCGGGTTCTAGTTCTGGTCGGGGCGCCAGATTCTGTCCCGGTTGCCCCTCTTCCAGGCCAGATCTCTGCTGTGGCCCGGGAGTGCAGTGGAGGATGGCCCAAGTGCTTGGGCCCTGTACCCCATGGGAGACCAGGAGAAGCACCTGGCTCCTGCCTTCGGATCAGCGCGGTCCGCCAGCCGCAGTGCACCGGCCGCGGAGGCCATTGGAGGGTGAACCAATGGCAAAGGAAGACCTTTCTCTCTGTCTCTCTCTCTCACTGTCCACTCTGCCTGTAAAAATAATAATAATAATAATAATAAAAACCACTGTCTGATAGCACACGCTGCGTTGTGGCCTTGGAATGCTCCTGGTGGGCATTCATGGGAAAGTGCGTGTTAGTGCCGTGTGTCCACGAGCGGCCATTTCCCTGGTGCGTTCTTGAGGGGGTGCACGCGAGCCAGGGTGTGGTGTTTCTCGGACCATCCCTTGTCATTTGACCACTTTAGGCAGGGTGACTTCGCCGTCCTCCACGAGAAATGCTCTGCGGTTTATGAGTGACTAGGATTACCTGTGCCCTGGTCTTCAGCTCCACGGACAGTGGCTAAGCTCTTGTGGGGCCCGGCTCTGTGAGAGGGCAAGTGGGAGGCAAGGCTGGTGCTTTCGGGCTGCTTCTTGGAGCTGGCTGGGGAGGGTGGAGAAGGTTCCAGGGGGATGATATCAGATGGCCCATCTCAAGCACCTGCTTTGTTGGCAGTTTCTCTACCAATCATTTCTTTGCTATTATCTTTGCCTCTTCCCTCCTCTCCCCAACCCTCCCCTCCCCTCCCCTCCCCTCCCCAACCCTCCTCTCCCCTCCCCTCCCCTCCCCTCCTCTCTCCCCTCCCCTCCCCCCCTTCACTGCGTGCCTGGGGCTCCTGGAGGCTTCAGGCCAGGGCTTCATTGTCACCTCCTCCTTGCTGAGGACCTGAGGACAGCCCTAACCCTGCCACCTGAGTGTCCTTGGCTCTTTGTGAAATCTTAGCAACATTTGCAAAACCGTCCCCCTTTTATGCAAGGCCCCTCCCATGGGGCTGGCAGCATCCCTCCCCCCTACGCTCTGGGATGCTCCTGGTCTTGTAATTGGCAGTGCTCCCCAGCCTCTTCCCTCTTGCTAAGCCCTTCCTTCCCTACCCTCACCAGCCTGCCTCCGTCTCCTAACACGTTGGCCCTGGTGAACAAAAAGGCAGGAAGGCCTATGGGCAACTTCTGCTCTCTTGGCCATTGCTCCCAAACAAACGTGAGGGCAGCCTGCCTGCTCGGGTGGGGCTGGGCAGGAGCAGGAAAGGATACAGATTCACCTCCCAGAATGGCCAGAGCTGGAAGGTGGTCGTGCAGGCTGAGGGGAGCTCCAGGGACAGTGGGGCTGTCCTGAGGTTGCGTTTGGTTCCAGGCTGAGTCCAGATTGCTCATGGGGCATGAGGCTTCGATGGGATAATACGCAGGAGAGCAACAATAGGTACTAACACAAAGACATTTAATGAGCACCTATTCTGTGCCAAACATTGAACTAGTCTTTTTTTTTTTTTTTTTAAGATTTATTTGTTTATTTGAAAGTCAGAGTTACACAGAGAGAGAAGGAGAGGCAGAGAGAGAGAGGTCTTCCATCTACTGGTTCACACCCCAAGTGG